CTGTTTTGTGTGTGTGTTATGATAGATCACTAGTTAATATAACCCCATGTTTGGTCTCTTTGAATTTGTCTTCTGATGATCTAAATGAGCGTTTATAGTATATGTTGATATTTATGCAACATATTATTGTTCTAAGAATCTTTAGTAGTCTTTGCATCAACATCCAATCCAGTTACATATGCAAATTGCCATGCTTGGAGACAAAGAGTCAAAAACTTTCCCTCCAAAAGTTCAAGTCACCATTGGCTCTTTGACCCCCGAGAGGTTTGACCTCCACAGACCTTAAATGGCCTCACTTCAGTGACCCGCCTTGCTTTTTAGTCTCTTTACTCATCTCTCATCACCCTCCCGTCTGCTGGTTGCTAAGTACCAGAGCCGCCGCAGCCGTGCCTAGCAGTCCTCGACACTAGTCTGTGGTCCTGTTAGTTTCTGAGAAGATAAGGATGTGAGCTAGAAACTCTTCTGCAACCCTTAAGTCTGCGCCAGGCTTCGGCCTAGTCTTTCCATTCATCAAGATCCGCTGACTCAAAATGGTTATTTCTCATCACCTAACTTCAGCCAACCTACTGGAGCCCCAAAGAGCATCAGGACTCTCTTTCAAACAGGCGAGACGTGCAAGTATCAAACTTAGTCTTATTAATTGATTCATTACGTATCATTTGCACCTTTCACAAAGGTGTGTTTGACCTAAGGAACTGATGTTTCATTCAGGCTGTAGATCTGCTAAATATCAAATGGTACCATAGCTTCATGTTTTTATATCTCTTCTCTTTACTGCTTAAGCTTTAACCCTTTTTCCTATGCCAACTGTATGCGGTGTGTGTGTATGTTAGACTAGTTTAAGTGTTTATAGTGTTAATAAAGTCTTACTTGTATCACACTTGAGGTTGTTCATTGTTTGCTCATAACTGGAGTCCCTAATCATGCAGATTTTTGCTACATGCTCTGAGCAGTATTGTACAGTAAGAAAGTTATTTTCCTTAACCAGGAAATTAACGTTCTTAGAATTGACAGACAGTTGACACTGAGATGTCAAGTAAATGCTTACAGCGGATCTAAATATTTATAATTAATTATAACTAGTTATAATTAATTATTCATATTTCCCCTTTGAGCTACATCATTCACACCAGCAAGCACATGAAATTACTGTGTATCTTTTCCATTATTTGTCAGCTTTGGCTTCATCCCTAATATGTACCGTATTGTATTCATTATATATATATATATATATATATATATATATATAGGAATTTTCAGGTCTAGAAATCAGACTTTTACAATTCCCTCATACTGTATATGTATTGTGCGAATCCTAGTTCTTAAATAAAAATGATAGTCAGTGAGAAAACAAATTAAAATAATTAAATTAAACATTTTGTTAAAATAAACTAAAACAAACTAAAATAAGCTTCTATGTAATTACTTATTGTTTTAATTTTATATTATGTTCTTCTTAAAATTTGATGCATTTTTATTTCTTTTTATATATTATTATTATTATAAATTTTTTTTTTGTACTTTTTGTTTGTAAAGTGCTTTGAGATGCAAAAACTGCTCATCATCATCTTGCGGCCTCTTGTAAGTGTGCTGAGGCCCCTGGTTGAGAACTACTGTGCTAACAGATAGCTTTCTATTATAGTGATATATTAAACATTCACCTTCTGACGCTGAAGAACACATCAAACCCCTCAAAATGCTTACTGTGGCTGTTCATTTTGATTAAAAAAATATTCAAAACTGATGAGTGTCAGTTTCAACTGACCGTTTCAAATCCTCAGTGGAGATTAATCCAATCACATCCGCTCAGTTTTCAAAAAGTAAATTCAGCTCATCTCTCTCTCTGATTGTATTGCCTAAAGGCTCATCTGATGTTGAACTGGCCCCAGCTGTGCCTTTCTCACCCTGAGACTCTTGCCAAACTCTTTATCCTCTTTTCTGTGGCTTTCTTTCACAGTAAAAAGTCTTGCGGTCTTCACATGAGTGGACTTTACTGCTGTTAATCAGCTTTTCTGAGAAAGAGAGAAGCCAGACCACACAGCAGATTAGTGAGTAATGATATAAAATGCTGATGAGAGAAAGAGAGAGCGAGTTTTTCTACATTTAAACAGAGCACTGGTCTGGTGCTCCCGTGGGGATGCAGGTTCAAATATGGCCTGCAACATGTGCTGATCTCACTGGAAAGTCATTAAAACCCCATAAATCAAGTTCAGACCTCATTAAAGAATAACTCTGGCCTCTGTGCTAAAACATGAATTACTATAGACATAAATGTTATATTAAATTATATGCTACCTGAATAATATTATACTAAAAATATACTTTTTGGGAGATAATCATATTTTAAGAGCTTCAATTCTGCAATGCATTGCAATGAGACATTCTATAAAAATTTTCTATTTATATAAATATATGAATAAATATAGATATTGATTTATCATGGTACTATCATCTAAAAGCACCATGTTTTTTGTGATGGTTGTCTTTGTCATGTCTATTGGATGGCGTCATCGAATACACGCACACAAACGAGAGCACTCACATGCCTCCTGCCTCCACATTTGGGCCGCGGATGTAAAAGGGAACTCTGATGTCAAACTCATAGGGCATGGATTTCCCCTTGACCAGTCCGAACTGACCGATGTGATATCCGTGGTCAGCCGTGTAGATCACATATGTGTTGTCCAGCTCTCCAGTGTCCACCAACATGTTGTATATCTACGTTCAGAAAGAAGAAACATTACAATAGTAGAATAAATTATAAGGTACAACAGCTTCGTTTGTGGTTGCAGAAAAGCAAGACAAAATCATCATGGGACATTCTGAAACTGTGAATTTACCAAAAAAAAACAAACAAACAAGAAATTTGTGAAATGGATCACTGCACTCAGTGTTGTTGCTGTTAAATGAACAATTAAAAAAAAATTCTAATTGAACTTAAGCTAAATAAAATATTAAATATTAGATGAAAAACGTAAACAAAAATCAGAAATGTTGCTTTGGTAACTAAGTGAAATAAAACAAGTAAGTTCAAGTACTAAAGAAAAACTAAAACTGCAATAAAAATAAATGAAACTATTTAAAAAAAATACATTTCAGTATTGCAAATGTTAAAAAAGCAATAAACCAATAAAAAGACAAAAGCACCAAATCTTTAAACAGAAAATATTAAAATAAAAGCTTTTTCAGAATATTAATAAATACCGTAATAGAACATAAATAATACTAAAATAACAATGATTGCAATGTAATACACCATAGTACTGTAGCATTGTTAAAGTACCGTAAAGTAGCATGCAAATGCCACGGTATACATACGTTAGAATTATTTATTACCATGGTATATCTGGAGTAAATGTGGAAATGTTCTCAACTGGGAAAATAATTCATACAGATAGATAGGTAATTTGCTCCTTATTAATAGTAAAGTAGCTGTTAAATTTAGTTATGGGGTAGGATTAAGGGATCTAAAATGTGACTCTGGAGCACAAAACCAGTCTTAAGTCACTGGGGTATATTTTTAGCAATGGCCAAAAATACATTGTATGGGTTTAAATGATCGATTAACAGGATATTAAGTAAAGATCATGTTCCATGAAGATATTTTGTAAATTTCCTACCGTAAATATATCAAAACGTAATTTTTGATTAGTAATATGCATTGTTAAGAACTTCATTTGGACCATTTTTAAGACGATTTTCTCAATATTTAGATTTTTTTGCACCCTCAGTTTCCAGATTTTCAAATAGTTGTATCTCGGCCAAATATTGGGTCCTATCCTAACAAACCATACATCAATGGAAAGCTTATCTATTCAGCTTTCACGTGATGTATGAATCTCAATTTAAAAATAAATTTTTGTTTGGTTTTGTGATCCAGGGTCACAAATCTGGTCATGCAAAATAAGGCATTAATATGTGCTTTTTAAGTACTACAGCCAATATGTTCCTAATATGCTTGCTAGTTAATAGTGAGAATAATAAAGTGTTGCCATATGGTTAAGAATAGTTTATAAATATTCTACTTTTATATTTAGATAAAAATGTATTATATTTATGCATAATTCGTGTAATTTGTATAACATGTAGAACTGATGTACCTTCTCCACACTATCATCCACGGACAGCAGTGTTTGCAGTCTCTTGCGCTGCAGCATGTTGGTGAACTCCATGTGAATGGGCTTCATGGGGCCGGTGTAGCGCATAATCCAGTGTTTGTCTGGATTAGGGGCGTAGTTATAACTGGGCGTTCTGAATGGAGAAGAAAAGAGTCGCAGTCAGTGGACCCGCTGAAGCATGACTGAGGGAAATCGAGAGAGTTTTCAGAGCGTCTCGAGACACTGTTTGTCGACTCTGTTCTGCTGATGTTGGTGGAAAGCAAGCAGACAGATTTTGACAGCTGGGAAGTGTCTGCGTGAATGTGTGAAAGTGCGTCTGTATGTGTGTGTGTGTGTGTTTGTATGGTCAGAATTACAAATGACAGCAATCGACTGAACTCTCTCTTTCTTGTCTCCTCGAAAATGACACATTGCAATTTTACAGTCTCATGGTTTCTCAGGCGCTGACTGACAGACTGACATTCTGTGAATGTAATGCTTGTTCAACCATTATTGAGGGCTAAAAAGAGAGAGAAGTGTTTGTAGCTCCTCCTCCTCGCTCCTGTGACAGGTGTGAGAGGCCTATTAGAAACAAACAGCACTTAAACTCCATGCCTTTACAGTTGTGATTAAAAGCCCCTGGCTCTATTGTTTACAGCCATTACTTAAAGTCCTTCTACAGACAAATCAATGTGAGCATCATCGCGCTGATCTGCTCGCTGCCTGGCCTTGTTTTGAGGGTGCCGTTTATTCAAACTGATAACAACTTAGTGACAACAAGGGACAATGTAACTCTCTCTGTCTCTCTTTAGTGTATCTATTTCTGTCTGTACTGGGACCTGAAAGAAATGTTTACTGATGTTCCTTTGTCACTTGTTTCTATTTCTTTCTGTCTAGACAGTAGCTCTGATTCAAAACTAAGTGTGCTGTCAACCTAGACATATAATAAAATATGACATGCTTTAATTAATATCTCCCTATACTGCTTTTCCGGAAGGTGAGAAGTAGTGGTGGGAATTCTGTGATTTGAAAGAACTTACAAAAAAAAATCATTCAGATTTGTTTAATGACTCACTCATTGAAGTTTTCTGCGCATTATATCGATATATAGTTTTTCCTGCATTTTTATCAAATCCCTGTTCATTCATTTATTTCACGAATATGGTGCTGCATTCATTGTCGCTCTGGCCCTGTTTACACCTAGTATTAAGAAGCATTTTTTTTCAATACAATCAGAAGTAGAAGACACTAAAAAAGACGCTAAAAACAGGGTCTAAAACGTTTTGAGCTTGTCCACTTTTGACCACTTCCAGAGGTTGTTGCTGCATTTTACCAAAACGCACAAATTACAGTCAAAATTGCAGCTGCTTTCTTTATCCTTTTTCTTTGTTCCTTTCCAGATTGCTTGGGTTTCTATACTCATTCAAGATGAGTAAACAGAATAGTTGATAACTATTTTAATCAACACAGAAACGTTTAAAAACAGTTCTAAAATATTTTAAAGGGGTCATATGATGCTGCTAAAAAGAACATTATTTTGTGTATTTGGTGTAATGAAATGTGTTTATGCGGTTTAAGGTTAAAAAAACACAATATTGTCCACATACTGTACATTATTGTTTCTCCTCTATGCCCCGCCTTTCTGAAACGCGTCGATTTTTACAAAGCTCATCGGTCTGAAAAAGTGAGGTCTGCTCTGATTGGCCAGCTATCCAGTGCGTTGTGATTGGCCGAATTCCTCAAGCGTGTGACGGAAATGTTACGTCCCTACCATACTGTGATGCCTGCGGCAACCACATGTGACGACCTCAGGCTGGACTCCACTTCATCCACGGTGAAAGCCGGCGATCCACAGCGCAAAGTTGTAGTATTTCCTCAGTGACCAGCACAGATCAGCTCCAGGCATGACGAAGCGATATCGTCCTCTTTTGGAAGACCAAACAAAGTAGTTTCGCTTTCACAACGAAACACACAGCGTCTCCACGACATGGCGGCGGCAACAACAATACTACAGTGAGAATAAAAGTTACGCCTTCTTTCTTTGCGTGAACATTTGGGCGGCATTATGCAAATCTTCCCACATAGTGATGCAGATATGTGGGGGCGTGTTTAAACAAGCCGTTTTAGGTAGGCGTGGTTGACTTAACTTTTATAAAGAATATCTCTTTGGATTTGAGACTTTAGTCTTTGCAACTTTACAGATCTTCTTTATGCACCAAGAGCTTGTAACACTCCAAAGAGAAAGGAAAAATTGAAATCGCATCATATGACCCCTTTAAATAAAAATACAATAAAAATAGTTCTAATCTGATTCACAACACACTATTCTAGGCAACATTTAAGTGCTCTGTATTTTTAAGATAGACTATCATGGCATTAGCTTAACAACATGCTAACATCAAACTTAAGTGGAACTGACAGTGAACAGTAAACAGAAAAGATGATAAATAAAGCATTCAATAAAGGAAAGTGTTCTAATCAGATTCATAACACTATTTCATGAAATTTGTATGTTATGTATTTTTAAGCTTTTTAGACTATCAAGGCATTAGCTTAGCAATGGTAATGTAAGACTCAAGTGGAATTGACTGTAAACAGTAAACAGAAAAGTTGATTATAAATATAGTAATCAATAAGGCCTACAATAAAGTGTTGAGTAAAAATAGTTCTAATCTCATTCGTAACACTATTTCACAAATTATTTGTATGCTATTTTTAAGCTTACTAGACTCTCAAGACATTAGCTAAGCAACATGCTAATGTAAAACCAAAGACTATAGAATACCCAAGACGTGTCACTTATATAGTTTTGAATGGGGAAAAATTACTTGACTTGTCTTAAAAGGACTTTGGTAAAACTCAAGTGGATTTCACTGTACACAGAGTAAATACAAACATTTTATTTAATACAGAAAAGTGTTGAATAAAAATATCTCTGATCTGATTCATAACACATCATTTAACCTAATATTTGTGTGCTCTGTATTTCATAGACCAGACTAGAATTAATGTGTGCTTGACGTGAGGAATGCTACATGCTACACAGTTCCTGCCTATATAGAGTGTTCCAAATATGTCACATGAGATTCCATCAATATAGAATATGGCCTCAGAAGGCAGCTGCCTATGTAAATAGTTAATTCTCTCTCTCTCTCTCTCTGGATTAATCTTCTTTATTGGTCTACATATAATAATTTTAATCCTCTCAAAACGCTCTTTCTCCCTCTCTTATTATTTTCTGATCATATTTTCATTATTCTCGATGAAACAGGTGCAGTGGAATCACGTGGCGATGAGAACAGGGGGATTTTCCCACCGAATAATATACGCTCTTGGACTCTCTGTGAGGATTTGTACAATATCTCTGCTTTGGCCTTGTGCCAGTCTGAGGAGCAACGAGGGGTTAATCACATACAGCACTGTACGAGGGCAAGGAGCAGAGAAGTACAGGACTAGCGGGAGGCCATTATGGACGGTGGCGGGTGGTTTGCAGCGGACTGAACGGAGAGAATGAGTGCGGTCCCGCAAATTTCTCATGGGACGTTAAGAGAGGATAGAGGAATTCTGGGGCATTCTCCCCTGACAGCAGGGGAATGATACATGCATATGAATGCATGTGTGGAGCACAGCCATCTTTTATGGTTATAAGGGTGAAAAAAGTGACATATTTCATTGCAATATAAATGCAATCAGACAGGTGACGAAGTTATAGAGGTGGATGTGAATCATAAATCATGTTTAATTAATAGTTTGTGTGCAAAAGAGACTGGCGAGCAAAACAGGAGCAAGGCTGTTTGTTTTTTATTAGTGAAAGTGTGATGACATCAGAAAAATAATAAAAACTAAAAGTTAAAATTCCAGACACTCTGACTTGAGCAGTTACTTTGAAAGGATGATGGATGTTTATGTGAGTCATACAGTGGGCAGGTTTGCATCTCCTGGTTTATATCTACTCTAATGGTGAATCAAACGCTTGTTAAACTACAACAGAAAGCTTATCACACACACACACACACACACACACACACACACACACACACACACACACACACACACACACTGTTTAAATAGCTTCCCATTTACTAATCAAAAAATGAATATCTATTCATCTATTTTGGGTTTCTTCCTCATCAGCCAGCCTGAGAAAGCGAATGTGCATGTTTGTGAACATTCTGTCCCTTTAACGTCTGAATTCATTCCTGACTCAATATTTCAGTAAAGATGGTAATATTCATTAACAGTACTGTATCTCTTTGTTCTCTCCCTCTCTTTTTCTTGCTTGAATGTGAGAGAAATGGGAGCTCATGGTTGTGTGGTTTTGTGCTTAGACACACAATGTCCTGAAAGCAAATCGAATCTGAGAGAGAGACAGACAGAGAGAGAATTTAGTACATTAGAGGCTTTTTGTTTGCTCATTTGTGGTGTGTTAACTAGATAATATGTCTATGTGTGTGCTCTCGGATGTATCTGGGGCGTGAAATATATTGTATACAAGTGCATAAATGTAAATCTTCAAGCTTATTTTTTTATGTGTTGTTCTATATGTATGAAATATGTCAGTATGCAATTTATAGTGCATTGTAAGTATGTGAGCAGTTTTCTCTTTCACCTACTGAGCAAGGTAGTTTACTGTAGTTAACTGTTGACATGTTTATAGCGAGCTGAATAAAAGCATCTGGTTTATTAGAACTGAAATTTGAAGGTAGCTTCTTGTTCTTGAGTGATTCAGGTTGTTAACACCATAGAAATGAAAGGAGAAGTGTATATTTTCATATACAATTCGCATGTTTATTCCCCAGAAAAGTGTACATTTTTCAGAATTTTTCAAGTATTGCACACTTATATTTCATGTTTAACTTATTTCTTAAGAAGATTTTCATGAATGGATTTCCTGTATCTAAAAAGGCTGAATTTATGAGGTTACCGGGTACAAAAGTAGACATGGAGAACTATAAAATTAGATTTTGAGATTACTTGGTGTACACAGAGAGTGAGAGTGGGGTCCTAGAGATTTAGCAAATCCAGCTAACTAAAAACAACTACATCACGTGTAGACAGGATTTAACCGAGACAGTACAAATGTGAGTGTGAGTGTGTACAAATATGCTTTTCATCATCACGTATGTATTCGGCATGTGTGTGAAGAATGGCAGTGTCTCTCTGACAGGAGGATTACAGACCCTGGGAAAACATAGACAGAGTCAGGATTTATCTGCCGGATGGACATAAATGTAGAGATGAGATGAACGAAGGGAGAGAAAGAGACACTGAAAAAAGGGTCTGGTACCAGCTGGTGGCCAATTAGCAAGAGAGCAGGAGAAACCGGCAGATAAAAACAAGTGTGTGTGTGTGTGTGTGTCTGTGGGTACATTAGTGTGAACCGCAGAGGACTGTTTCCATTATAACAACTCTATTGAGTAGCACTTGAGTGACAGAAATAGAGAAAAGTGCAGTGAGTTTTCTATTCACAGTGTTATCCATGATTTCCAGCTGTTTCTTTGCTCTCTTCCTGTTCATCTCCACTACCACTAACCTTTTGCATGTTTTTGTTTATGTACAATGAGAGTCTAAAAGTCTGAGACCTCAATGAAAAATAGATTTTTTTTTCTCAGCTTAACCTCAAAATAAACAACATTTTAGGAAAAATAATAATAAATATTCTACTATAATTTCTAGCTTAATAATCAATAAAGTAAAAAATCAGTGACAATGAACGTGTTTTTCCAGGCGGTCAGATTTCTTCATCTTTTGAAGCTCAAGATACTCTTTGGATAATCCCAAATCATTCAAACTGATCATTAGTTTTTATACAAACTGGTGGAGTTCATGCAGCTTTAGTGATATTTCCATTAAGGCGAAAAAGAGAAAAAGCCAATACCAGTACCAATACCAATACATTCTTAGTTTTTCGTATCATCTTTTTAAATTAAATGTCATGCAATGGAGGTTTGGACTCACATGTGCTGTGAAGCGTTGGGGAAGGCAGTAGTGTACTGAGGGGCTGAGTCCTCTGGGCCATGAGGGGCGGCGTGACTGATCACCATCATGATGGGTCGGTGAGGGTAGATCTTCTTTGACATGCGGAAGTAACTGATGCTGTCATTAGTAATGAGATCTGTCAGGTAGTCCTACAGGAGGTACAGAGATCTGATCATTAATCTACTAATTTAAAATATTTCAGTCTCAGTTATTCAAAAGCTTAACATACACACACACACACACACACACACACATATAACCCACTCATAAGCAATCTTTTCTGTTGTCAAAGAGCTTGAATGTCTGTCACTGCAATGAATGGTGAAAAGCTAACAGAAAAAAGAGAGCTTAGATGAGACTGATGAGCCCTGACAAAAAATACTGAACTTTGAGAGACAGCCAATGAGAGTGTGAAAGACAGACAGAAAAGAGGTCTGACTTTGTTGGAAATCACAAAACTATCAATCAAACTGGTCAAGAATGGATGAATACATGACAAGAAATGAAGAAAGGAGACGCAATAGGAAAATACGGGGTTCCGCATGATTGGCCAGCTTGCACACAGACCTTTGAGTATTCAAATCCGTGTTTCTCTCGGACGCCGTTCCTGCACAGAGTGTAGTTGTAGAAGCGGGAATTCTTCACCATGGCGACCCACTCCCTCCAGCCCGGAGGAATGTAAGTACCGTTATACTCATTCAGATACTTCCCAAAGAATGCTGGGAAAACACAAAACACAAGAGAGCATAGTTATCATAAAGCAAAATAGTGTAGAAGAGAGCAAAGTAGAGTACAGAATAGTGTAATAAAATAGAGCAGAGCAGAACAGAATAGAGTAGGGTAGAACTGAGAATAGGCCAAAAATAAAGAATAGAGTAAAATAGAGCAGTGTTGAGTACACTAGAGTAGAACAGAGAGCAGAATAGAGCAGAATAGCAGAGTAGAGAACAGAAAAGTAGAATAAAGTTGAGGAGATTACAACACAATAGAGTTGAGCTGAGTAAAACAGAATAAAGGGAAATAGTATGGTACAAAACAATAGAAGAGTAGAAAAGTGTATACTACAGTTGAGTAGAGTAGAACAGAATAGAGTAGAATAGTTTTTACACAAATATAGAGTAGTTCAATTGAGTAAAGTGCGACAGAATAGAGTAAAACAGGGTAGAGAAGAATAGTGTATGGTTTAGTTATGTGGTAATAGTTGAGTAGATATTTGAGTAGAATAGAACAAAGTAGAGTAGAGCACAGTAGATTATAAAAGAGTACAGTTTAGTTGAGTATAGTAGAATAGAATAGAGCAAAACAGTGAAAATTTAAAAGTAGAATAGTATGGGAAAGTTGAGTAGAATAGAACAAAGTAGATTATAGCACAGTACAGTAAAGTACAATAGAATAAAGTATTGCAGAGTAGTACAGAATAAAATAAAATAGAATAAAAACAGTGATATGGTAAAGTAAAAAGCACATAGTACAGTTGAGTTGGACTGAACAGAATAGAGCACAAAACAGTAGAATTAAGTAGAGTAGAAAAATAGACTACAACAATGCAGAAAACAGTAGAGTTTAGTAGAGGTGAGTAGTGTGTAGTGGGATAGAATAAAGTAGAACAGTTCAATAGAGTAAAGTAAAACAGTAGAGTGTAAAACAGTATAATACGATAGAGTAGAAGTACACAGTATATAGAGTTGAGTAGAGTAAAGTATAGTAAAACTGTAAATTAGAGCAAAGCAAAGTAGTAGGTTATGGTAAAGTAGAGGTTAGCAGAGCAGAACAGAGTAGAATAGAATAGTGTATGGTACAGTTGAGTAGAGATTAACTGAATGGAGTACAGTACGGCAGAGCAGAGTACAATAAAGTACAATAGAATAGAATTTGGAGTAGATCAGAGTATGGAAGAGCAGCATAGAGTACAGTGAGTGTGATAAAGGGTCAAGAACAGTAGAATGGAGAAGAGTAGAACAGAGTGGAGTACAGAAAAGTAGCGTAAACTTTTTATACTAAAAAGACATTGCACATTTAAAATACATCGGGCATACAGACATAATCTGCATGTAGAGGAATAGAGGACAGGAGCTGTGTGAAGATGAATGAATATTTGTGTTGGAAATGTTACATTAGAGAGTATGTTGGTCAGAGCTGGTCTCTCTCCTAGAGGAAGTGTTCTCTAATGGATTACTGTTACCACTAAAAGCCTGACTCACTGCCAGGTGTGTGTGTGTGTGTGTGTGTGTGTGTGCAGGAACAACATTCACAGCTGGTCATGCTATGTTTACATGCACATAGTAGTTTTGCCTGATGTCTATGTCACAAACAAAAACATCACACATTTACACAAATACACAAAACCATCCATTACAGCCCTAAGGTTTTTAGTTTAATGAAAATCATCTGTTGGAGACAGATTATGTCAATGTTCGTGCAAGAGTCTGTGAGAGTGTGTTTGACAGTGTGTGTGTGACCTGGGGGCCTGTCACACTGAATCTCTGGTGAGAGTGTGTGAAAAACCCAACAGACACAACTCTGACTGATGAAATAGCTCACAAATGAATGAGAGCTCAATTTGAACTTTACATTCATATCAGGCTGTTATTGAAGAGTTTATGCGCCATAATGCGCTGGTGTTTATTTCAGAGGTTTTCAGATGGAAATCATTAAAGGGTATGAGGTTATGAAAGCGTGATCTTAGAGCCACTGATGCTACACTCTGATTAGTCTCTAATCTAGTCCAACTATGAATTTTATGCTACAAAGATATAAGTACTCAATTTTGCAACACTACTCTACTTCAGGCTACTCTATTTCATTCTACTCTGCTTTAGTCCACGGTACTTTATTTTACTCTATTCTACTCTATTTTAGTATACAATACTAAAATCACTAAATTGATTTTACTCTACTTTATTCTACTCTAGACTATGCTACTCTAATCTACTCCACATTGTTCTACTCTAGTTTACTAATCTCTATGCCATTCCCCTCTACTTTAGTCAAGTCTACTCAACTCTATTTTATTCCACTCTATTTTAGTCGGGTCAGTGTTAATCAAGTTTTCTCAATCTATGTTACTATATTCTGCTCTATTTTAGTATAAGATATTTTAATTTATTCTCCTTTACATTTTTATACTCTGGGCTGCACATCTTGAGGTTATTCTCCTTTACTTTAGTACAATCTACTCAACTCTGTTCTATTCTACGTTAGTGTATGCTACTCTACTTTAATCTAGTACACATTATTCTATTGACCTCTAGGCTCCTCTCTTTTACTTTAGTCTAGTCTGCTCAACTCTGTTCTACTCTACTCTAAGTCAGTCTATGCTGCTCTAATTTTTCTATTCTACATTATTCAATTGACCTTTAGGCTCATCTCTTTTACTTTATTCTGATCTATGTAACTCTCTTCTACTATACTTCAGTATATGCTGCTAATCTACTTCAATCTAGTATACATTATTCTACTTTACTTTAGTATAGTCCACTCAACTCAGTTTTATTCTACTCTATTTTAGTCTAGTCCTCTCTGCTTTAATCAATTTTCCCAAGTCTATGTTACTATATTCTGCTCTGTTTTAGTATAAGCTAATTTTAATGTATTCTACTCTACATTATACTCTTGTCTACACATTTAAAGGCTATTCTCCATTACTTTAGTATAATATACTTAACTCTATTCTACTCTACTTCAGGAGATGATACTCTACTTCATTCTAGATAATTCTACTAATTTCTAGGCTATTTCCCTTTACTTTAGTCTACTCTTCTGAACTCTATTCTACTCTTCTTCCTTTAGTCTACTCAACTCTACTGTACATTCAATGCTACTGGACTTTAATCTACTCTACATTATTCTACTCATCTCTAAGCTATTCTCCTACTTTACTCTAGTCTACTCTGTTTTTAGTCTATTCATCTCTATGTTATCTCTATGTTATTCTAGTACACTTCATTCTACTCTACTCTAGTTTTAGTCTACACTATTCTATGCTGAACTCATAGCTCTACTACACTACACTACTGTACTCCACTCTACTTTACTCTATACCATGCGACAATAACACAGCAATTGAACCAAGTAATCCTTTCAGCGTGTGTTTGGGAATGGTCTCCACCTGTCCTGTAGCCAGTGCTGTTGAGGTAAACTCCAAAAGTGCGTGGCTCATGTTGGGCCTGCCAGGAGGGCGAAGAGCAGTTCTCGTTGTTGGTGTAGGTGTTGTGATTGTGGGCGTACTTCCCCGTCAGCATGGAGGAGCGTGATGGACAGCACATGGGCGTGGTGACAAACGCATTGGAGAAGTGCGTTCCACCCTGTTCCATGATCCGCCGGGTCTTATTCATGACCTGCATGGAGCCTGGGTGAGAGAGAGAAAAAGAAGATCTATCATATATTATTGAAGGTGACATAAAGTCTGCTCTGCTGATTGCTGTACTTCAAAGAAAACTGGATACTTCTTTTTCTCTTCCTCTACAAAACACTAGACATCAGCGGGATAAAGATATCAGTTCTTTCATTTATTCTCTGTTTGTGACATTCCAGCCTTTAAGAGGAAATGTATTGGTTGTTTGCAACCTGGGAATTCATGTGACACCAGCTGCGTGTGTGTGCGTGTGCACATGGATGTGTATGTTTAGAGATATATGATACAGGCTTTATATTCACAAGTCACACTCTATTTATTAAAAGTCTCAATTACAGTATATAGTTTTCAAAACCCCTTTGTTTTCGCTCTTCCTCAGCATTTCTTCGACCTTGCCTTGCTCAAATAAACACACACACATTTATTTAAATGTAAATTAGGACAAACCATAAACTTCAATAGTTTTTACACTACCAGACAAAGGTTTGGGTCAGTAAGATTTATTTATTTATTTATTTATTGTATTCAGCAAGGATGCATTAAGTCAATAGTGTACAGAAAATTCTATTTTAAATGAACACTGTTCTTTTCAACTTTGTATTTATCAAAGAAGCCTAATGTATTCAAATAGAAAACAGTTCTTTTAAATTGTAATGATATTTAACAATATTACAGTTTCCACCAAAATATTAAGCAGCGCAATTGTTTTCAATATTGATAATAAGAAATGTTTATTGAGCAGCACATCAGCATATTAGAACGATTTCTGAAGGATCATGTGACACTGAAGGAATAAATGACTGTTTTAATGCATGTTTGAGCAAATGAATGCAGCCTTGGTAAGCATAATATATTTTAATGCACATTCATTTTTATTTACGAATCATTGATTAAAATGACAACATTTATAAATAACTTCTGGGAACAAACTATAGCTAAGTAAACCCACACAACCTACACCCTGATTTGCTCAATTGATATGATTGGAAAAAGGAAGTCTAGTTCAGTTTGGCCTTTAAGACAGGATCATCCCATCTCCACAGATTCCTGCAGAAAGGTCAGCACATACAAACATACACACTGCAAAAACCCTCTGTGCACTTTACACACAAAGGTCAATATAGATAGACAGCTGATATATAATAAAATAAACGAGCTCTCTCACACATACAAACACATCCAACAGAAGCAAATGCTCTTTCAGCATTAGTTGCATCTTGTACCTGTAAACCTTTTAGACTGAGAGATCTTGTTTGCTAAAACCATTAGAGATTCTAAAGAACTGTTTTGTTTTAGGAGCAAAAGTACATGCGACTGTGAATGTTTTTTTTTACAAGCAGGTCAGGTTACAATATGGTTAAAATACATCAAATGAAATATCTTAAGGAATAGAAATACACTACTGTTCATTTTACCGTTCAAGGTTTTTGAAAGAAGTCTCTTATGCTCACCTAGGCTGCGTTTATTTGATCAAAAAATACAGTAAGAACACCAATAACGTAAAATATTATTAGAATTGAATTGAACTGTTTTCTGTATAAATAATATTTATTTTTAAATGTAATTGATTCCTGTGATGCAAAGCTGAATTTTCAGCATCATTACTCCAGTCTTCAGAGTCACATGATCCTTCAGAAATCATGCTAATATGCTGATTTGCTGCTCAAGAAACATAAATAATAATTCAAAAGAATAGCATTTATTTGAAAGCATTTACCTGTAACATTATCAATGTCTTTACTGTCACTTTTGATCAATTGAATGCATCCTTGCTGAATAAAAGTATTAATTTCTTAAAACAAAATCTTACTGACCTCAAATTTTGAACAGTAGTGTATATCTAAATCTGACTGGACGAGCTCTCATTGGAATCAGTGGATGATTTAATAGTCTTGAAAACTGGTGTCCTTTATCATATTTGTGGTTGCCATGTAAAGAGTTGCATCACAGTTAAGGGAGTTTTAGGCATTTCAGTACATACTGTGCCTGACAACATCCCTGAAACATTTTAAAACCACTATAGCACATGGACTCTCACAGCTTATTGTTTTATTTTGTCTCCAAAAATCCCAAAAAGTTTCTCTTGGAGGTGGCTTATCATAAATTATCCTAAAGGTATCTGAGTATTATTTTTCCACTCACCCAATTCAATGTCCTGGTCATCGGTGAGGATGAGGATGATGTTGGGACGGATGTTGCGCCGGTCTCGCTGGAACCGAGGTTTCAGTTTCTGATTGGACTGGAAGACAGAGGCATGAGCCACCGCCAACACGGCCAACAGCACCAAGAGCCGGGCCGCCAGCCCCTGCGTCGCCATCTCAGGGCTCCTGCTCACACTATACTGACTTCACCTTGTGGCACCTGTAGGGAAAACCCCCAGAAAATTAAGTTTAGCTCAGTTTTATACTCAAAATGATTCTGAATTAAATTTTAGCATGAATATTGTTTCAGGTTAAGGTAGAGGTTGTGACAGCATGTGGTTTCGCCAGGGAGATCTTATTTATGGTAAATTATTAATGACCTTAATTGTTATAGCCGTAAGTTAGGCCTATATATAAATATGCAGCTTTCCTTGCACTTAACATATTACAAGATATGTAGGCTACAACATGACCTGGATGCAAAGATAAACTCAACATAAGAGGTTAGCTATCAATGTGCCAAAAAAAGTGAATATGCAAAAAATGACAAACTACTGTTTGCTACTATTTGTGTAAAACAGGATTCAGATTCAGACAAAATACTGATCCGGATGAAATGCACACGTTAACTATAATGACACACATTGACAGATAGGTAGCAAACCATTCGACTAACTTAATAATCTGACATTTATCAGTATTCTGTTCTAAACACTGAGTGGAAATGTTCCTCTTGGTACACACTGTACCATCCACAACACCACGTTCTGTTCAATAAATATCACCGCTCAAGCTTAAAGGCAAAGGAGAAACTTTCACACTGTACAATGAAGAACAAAATGTGTGTATAAGATCACTGAATGTTATGACAAGAAAGTAGCTAAATACCATTCGATCTGAATAACCCACACACCAGTCCAAATCTTAAATTACTGATGAATTTCTGACTTTCAGTAAGTACATATTAAACATATATCGGCTGTTTTTGGTTTCATATTCATGTTTTGAGAATTTAGTTTTAGTGCAGACTCACTGAAGAAATTATGCAAATCAGGTCTCCATAAAAGCCCATTTCCACCACAAATGAATTTTTTAAAATGTTTTTTTAAAATATAATTATGACATAAAAAGTTGAAATGATGAGATACTAAGTCATGGGATGAAAAGTCACAATTATGACAAAAAAAAGAGATAATATTAAAAATATTAGATAATTATTAATATTTTTTATCATAATAATGACTTTTAATGTCATAATTATGGCTATTTATCGTAAATTAAATTTTATGTTAACTATATATGTTTATGTTGTTATTTCAACTTGTCACAAATTGGACTTTTTGTCAATTATAACTTTTGTCGTAATTCTGACACTTTTTTTTGTCCCAAATGTTTCCGACTTTTTATGCTGACTAATTATGTAGACTTTTTAAGTACAATTTCTTTTCTCATAATTTTTTACTTTTTATGTTATAATTTTACCAAAGCATGATTATATGCTTTATATATATATATATATATATATATATATATATATATATATATATATATATATATATATATA